TACACACACATGATGATGACATTGCCTGTCACGCTCTTAGCTTCACCTACTTTATGGTGATGAAGTGAGCAGGGGCTTTGCCTGTAAAAGTGGTCGTGGTGGTGCGGAGAGAGGGAGAGAAGAGAAAGGACATGCAAGTGTAAATACTTTTGGGGCTTTGTAATATGCAAAGTGGAGTGAAGGGGAGGGGAGGTTGAGGTGAAAGCCTGGTTGTGCATATGTACTAAACCAAACCTGGATGGAGCAGGATTAATTAAGCTGTTGCTATTTTCCGAGGCAGGATGGTTTCTGGATTGATTGATTGATTAACAAACTTCCTGCTTTCACCAGAACCAACCAACTTCATTTACTTACTTTTCCATCCACGGACACAGCTCGTCATCTATTTTGGTTGAATATTCATTTTCACGAGAGAGTGAGGGAGAGTGAAAGCCTGGCCAACTGGTTGGTTTTGTGCACTCTAAAAATTTTACTACCGGTGGTGGTAATATGTCACCGCTCGGTTACAGCGGAATTACCACGTGGGAAGATCCATTACTAGCTCGGTGACAGTCTATCACACAGCAAGTTAAGTCAAGTCAAATCAACCTTTATTCAAGTCAAGTTTAGTCAAGTGAAAGCTTACTATCACCGAAATGGTAACACCCCGATTATCATAATTACATTTGTAACCGCATTTTTTAGAGTGCAGTGGTGGTGGTGAGGGTGGTAAAAGTATTTATAAATAAACCATCCGTTAACTCGCTGACCCCGACAAACTGTCACTGAAAATGTTATCAAAGTAATGGATTGACAACAACGAACTTTGTTCGTTTGTATTCATGAGCAGAATTCGACTTCCCTACATGGAAGTTCAAAATCAAAACCAATATTGACAAAAATCCGATTTCCAAGATTGCATGTCATACAATACACGAAACCGGGTAGCACTTGTTTGTTTGTTTGTTTACTTATTTATTTGTTCGTCCATCCTCCACTTTCACTCAGTCAGTCAGCGCTGCATTCGTGAATTTCATACAGCAGCACAACACACTCTCTGTATAATTTGAGTGTGTACTATTTCTTTAATTAGTGTTCATCCCAGGGATAAAATTGGCGGTGGTGGTGGTGCTCAGCTCAGGTGTTGGGAGCAAATGGTCATTCTGTTCCCCATTAATTTGTCAGTCTGGTCTGGCTGAAATCTGCAATCGAGAGAAAGTTGCCTGCTCGAATCTGTCGGAATAAAAGGTTGTTGGTTTATCCATTAGCTTAACTCGATCTCCTCGTCTCACCTCCTTCCCCCCGTTCACTTCTTGCTTTGGGGATTTAAATTGGACGACGAGTAGGACTAGGAGATTGTGTTGTCGCATATGGCAAAGTTATGGGATGACGCGATGATGTGTACAAGTAAGCCGAACACTCTTCCCCTTGTCCTCAGTGTTTCGTTTCTTGCGGGGTTGCTGCATTTTTTGCAATGCGAAGTAAGAAACGCAAAAAATGCGAGGTGCAAGAAACTGGGAGAATGTGCAAGAAATATGCGCTATCTAACCACGTACTGTATGATATATAGTGGCGGGAAATAGCTTTTTATGCCTTGCATTTCGTGCAGATCAAAATATTTTGCTGTAAAAAACCACTATCTGGCGGGTTTACTACATTTCTTGCACTGCAAAGAAAGAAATGCAAGAAATGCAAGGTGCAAGAAACTGGGAGAAACTACAAGGAATATGCGCCATCTAGCCACGCGCCTTATGAACTATTTATAGCGGCGGGAAGTCATTTCTTGTACCTGGCATTTCTTGCAGGTCAAAATACCTGCAAAAAACCCACTTTCTCCCCGTCATTTCTTGCAAGTGATTACTTTCCCTCGAAACACTGCTTGATATTCTTCCTCACCAGCGTTAGAGTTTGTTGGCCTCATCGGTGTTCTCTCCCCCGAATTGTGACTGCATTATATTCTGCATTAGGTAAGTCTGTATTGGACGCTAGTGGGCAGATGAGAGGGAAGGTGGTATGGTATTTCTGCCTAGCCGGGGAATCCTGTTGGTGGCAGAGAGGGAATAAATTTCCGAAGAGAAAGCGAGAACGGGCCACACTTTTGTTCCTTCTTGTTCTTATCACAACCTTTTCTTCACACCTAGCTAAATTTAATCTGACTTAAGCTGCGAGGAGGAACTTGGTGAGAATGCAGAATGGCAGATGTGCACCACCAAGGAATAAATGGCGTGGCGATGGTAATGTTGGTATTTTCGAGTCCATTGTACCAAATTATGGGAATGTTTGATCACCAAGTGAAAGTGTTTCTCTCATTGAAACCCACTTTCCAATTGTGCGGAGGTGGAAGAAATGTGTGGTTTGGTTGGTTACTTATCAGGCAAAAGAGGCCATTAAACAGGTAAATTTATGGCGTGTAACAAATCCACGTTTATTTACCAACCATGCAACGCAACGTTGCAAATATGGTAATTTTGGGATGACGATGATGGTGGTGGAGAAAACAGTGTGCACTGTAAAGTAATCAAACAACGAAACAAAACAATTCTGTGGGAGATGAGATTTTGAAACAAAAAGGCAAAAATGACAACGTAATGACCAACATTGTGTCCATGCAGCTACGTCTTTTGCTTGGAGTAAAGTAAGCGATGGGGCCACCCACTTCTTTTGTTTGTTTTACTATTTATTCCGCCAACGCAGAAATAAACTTTGTCCATGTTTCTCACTTTGAGTCGCATGTGGACCATGGGTTGTTGAGAAAGTGCCGTTTTTCTTGTCTCGAGGGACCAGAAGGAACAGGAAGAAGAGAAAGAAAGAGAAAGCATCTGTTTCCTTCCGTCCTTATTTTTCTTGTGCTAAAAATCGACGACCTTTCTGAAGGACATTTTAAACAAAGTCCACCTGGAGACGACGAGGGGCCAGTGGCCGCGAAAGCGTGGGGACGGAGGGGCAGTCCCCACGGTTACTCGATGTCCCCATCATCTGCCCATGTTACATAAACCCCTCCCTCCCCTATCCTACAATGCTAAAGTCCCCACATGTCCTCACGGCTTCTGCGACCACTGTAAGAATTTGGTCCTACCATTCTTTAAAATTCTATGTTTCACTCTAAAGAATTCCTAATTAATTAAAAGCGTTTCGTAATTTTTGCCACCTGCAATTTGCGTAATGAGGGATTCCTCAATTCATTATATGCAAACTTCTTGAGCAATTTTTTCTACTAGTGCTTAAATACTAGGAAAACTGGTTAAACGCAAATTTCAGCATCTGCACGAGAGAGAGATGGAGAGATACCCGAATCTCGTGAATAATCCAACTTTAATTCCAACTACGTACTTACGTAACTCTATCCATTCCCACCTTTCTATTTTCCCTTTTGGCTTCATATTCACGCTTCGCTGCCCACTTGTCAGGTCCAAGTTGGGCGCTTCATCTTCTTGGAAAGTTGATTTTGTTTTTGGAGGACTTTCTCCTCTTCGAAAGTAAGTAATCCGACTATGAGATAAGGAGCAGGGGTGGGCAAAATACGGGATTTTGAGCAACGTTCTTCCCAGGGTTTGGATTACCTGGGATGTTACACCCACAAAAAGGCGAAAATCTACGGTGAGAATACTGCAGTCTTGCGAAAATAAAGGGTTTGTGAAGAATTTAACTTTTTATTGCCGTCAAAATACATTGTTTTCGAGATTTTAAAACATTTAAGTATTTTGACCCTTATAAAAACATAATTTCATCCAAAATCTAAATTTTCGTCTTACTGCTGTATTCTCTAAAAGAATGGAATTAGTGACAAAGTCGAATTGTATAAGGCTACAGACCTAAAACACTCAAGTTTTCTAGGAAAAATTAAATAAAAGTCTCCTTATTTTTACATTTGCCAGATTTGTGTGTCTTCATTTTTTTGCCCATATTCTGTCATCGATATATTGGTTTGTCCTCATTAACCCGAAACGTGGGGAAGAAAAGAGCTCAAAACCCTATATTTTCCCCCAGTATTTTGCCCACCCCTGCTGCGGATGAAGATGCTCCGGCGTGTCACTCACTCAAGATATTGCATTACGACGGGTATAAGCTCGGGTCAATGTTTGTGATAACCGTTACGTTCCCTTACCTTAGCTTATCCTTAGATGAGTAGTAGGTAAGTAAGTAAGTACATAAGCCAAACTTTCTCTCTCTCCCTGTCCATTCAAGCAATGGGAGGGAGCATGATAATAATAATCGTAAAGGTGAAGGAAAGTCCTACTTATTCCGAGCAAGTGGAGAAAGTCAGTCAGCCAAACGGAGCTCATGTAATAAACTGGGCCGTGCAAAGTAACTGGAGCAATCCATCGCTCAGATGAATGGATGGATTTTAGAATTCAACTCTTCAACTCGAACTACTTTCTCCCAGCGAGAAAGTAGAAGACAGAGTAATACGTTGAGCAAATATCGGTACGGGGGAATTTGCAGTTTGGGTGTTATGAGGCCAGAATTTTAATGGTTTATAAAGTGGGGTGAATTAATGGAGAGTAAGAGTAAAACTGGGCTAAATTTTATATTTAATGACAAAGTATGTATATAAGCGGGGGGAGATTTCAATTAGGATTAGAGACAAAATTTGAGATTTAGGAAATTAAATGGGAACATTTTAAGGAGAAAGTGCTATTTTACTCTATTAAATTTTGACTGGTTCATAAATTTCGGGGGAATTATTGAAGAATAAATTTCTATTTTATCTGTAATTTACAATTCGCTTAAATTTTGACTGTTTCATAAATTCCCGGAGACCTTTTTGGACAAGAAGTTTCTATTTTAGTGCATTCACTTCCGGGGTTCTTTTTTTTGGAGAAGAAATTTCTATTTAAATTCAAAATTCGTTATTTCAGAAATTTCCGGGCAAATTTTTAAAGACGAAAATTTCTATTTTAATGTATAATACGCATAAATTTTGACCGTTTCATAAATTTCCTAGGAACATTTTGGAGAAATTTCTATTATACTAATGTACAATTCGTGTCCATGCTTAAAAATCGTTTTTTCCCTTCCAGGCCTTCCAAACTCTGCCACACCACCCAACTACTTTCACCACTCGCACTTTCACCGCCATCGAAACGTGACAACTCATCCCAGCCATCTCCACCACCACGTCCCGTCCCCCAGCGACCTCATCACACAAACGAGCCACCTCTCCCTGCAAGACGAACCCTTCCGCCTGGACCCTCTCGAAGGTGAGGAAGACACGTACGACCCGGTCGAGGCGTACCACCAGCTGCGACGCCACTATCTCACCTCCACCTCCCGAGTGGACCGAGCCCACTACGGGATCGGTGGTGGAAACTACCCGTCTCCCTCCGGCCAAACCAGGCACCACACCCATAGCACCAACCACCACCACAACAATTACCATGATACTGGATCCAGCGATCGTCGTGATAATAATAATCGTAATAGGAACGATAATGGTCGAAGCTATGGTCAAATTAGGGGCGAAAGTGGGCCCCATTCTCATTCCTCCCCCCTGAATCGACAAAGATGCTACGTCTGCCTTCCTCCGAACCGCGTGTCTCGCGAGGCGAAAGACATCCTCGCCATGTTTGGGAGAGAGGATCCCAGAGAAATCGCCGACTGTGCGGAATTCACCCCAGAAAACGCCAATTCATACGAGTTCAACTGCCCACCTGGTTTTGGAGGATGTATTCTCAGGGTGCATGGTACGTACATATGTTACTTTATTACTGAAGGTGAAGACTTTGTCCGTCTGTCCGTCCGTCCGTCCGTCTGTCTGTAAGTAGGATAGCGTGAGATAATTGAGATAAGTTTGCGGCATCATACTTACGACCCCGGGGGAAAATTGTACCAACTTTTGAGTAAATCGGACCACACCCCCTCAAAAACAGCGGGTGTGGTCGGGGGCAAAGTGAGATTTTTACTGAAATTCAATCTATAGATGAGATACAGTGTTCCTGCGCTGTCGTGGGCGTGGTTGGGGTGAAGTGGGACTGAAGCTACTTCGGTATGTGCGTTTTCGACGGTTTATTAGAACTCGAGGAGAGCGAGGAAGACCGTTTAGTGCTTCACGGTTTAATATACTTTTGATAAATTGGGGGATTTGTGAGAAGATGTGTGATACATAAATCATGAAAAGGCTTAGTTTTAGCGCAGTTTCGAGAGAAGAAGAAGAAGTTCATGGTTTTTGGAAAGTTGTGAAGAGTGAGAAAGGAGACGTCGTGCCGGTTGTGTGCACGTGAATGGATAAATGGCTTTCTCTCCTACAACTTCGTGCTGCTTGATACATTTTGTTGCACTTTGTCTGACAATAACATCGCCGGAGTGGTCGTGGTGGTAAAATATCATAAGTAGTTGCAGTCTGTTTGATGTGATGCGGGGCCATAATGGGCGGGATAAAGGTCAAGGGAATCAGGACGATATAGTTATTATGTAGAGATCGAGGGTATGTCCATACATATTTGGCTGACGTAAATACATACGTAACATGAAATGGCAACTCGTTATTGTCTACTGGTTGGTGGAGAAAGTGATTTGTTGGCCATGCCATATGTGCAAGTTTAGTAAAAGGCGTCAGAGGTGTGCCGCTACCTGTGACCACCTACCTACCGTTTAGTACTCTAAATTTAAAGTGAACTGACGTAGGGTCGACCCATACATGCATCAAATGAAGGTATCAATGAGTAGATTATTTCTACAAAAAATTCCACATTTTTACAGTTAAAATAGGTCAAGGAAAATCAAAATATGCACAAAAAACGCATTTTGTTTTATTTTTTGCGCACATTTTGATGATTTCTGACAAATTTTGAGTGTAAAAGTTGGGAATTTTTATGTAGAAATGATCTACTCGTTAATACCATTAATTTGATATATGGGTCGAGCTACTGTTAAAACCGGGGATTTAGGGTACCACACGTACCGGTACACCTCTGCCATGGCGTTGCATTTCACTCTTCTGATCCACCCAACCCAACATCTCACTTGACACAGTAATGCCTGCTTCCATAAACAAACATGATACATTTTCCCCCATAAATTTCTCTTCTCTTTTCTTGCCTTTCAGGCCTCAACGTGTCCCGAGCCTGCTCCAAGTACCGACTAAACGACTGCAAGAAAGCCAACTCGGTGGAATTCTGTTACTGCACGGAACCCTTGTGCAACGACGTGAAACCTGTCCCTCTCCCCCTTTCCCCACGTGACGACGACCTCGACGACGACGAGGACAGTCGTGCCGGCGGCGGGTCGGGGGAGCGGTCCGTCTCCAACAAAGAGGAAGAAGTTCCCTCCGACTCCGAACTCGTGCACACCCCGTCAAACGACAAGAACAGAAAAGACTCTTCCGTCGCCCTGGCCAATTTCGATGCGGACGACGACACCGCCAATTCGGGCGAGGACGACGACGACGTCCGCAGTTTGAAGGACGGTGGTGGTGGTGACTTAAAAAATCTGAACAGTTCTTCTGCCCTGGGAAAAAGTGGGGGCAACATTTTCCTACTTGTGACCCTAGCTTTTCTGCTCGTGTGGAGGAGCGACATATCTGAAAATTTAATGCCATTTTGTGGTCGTGCTGGGAGCAGTGGAGGGCTTCATTTTAGCTGATTCCAAACGACCCGGTAACAATCTAGATAGTGAGGAATCAAGTATTTAAGCGGCCCTATTAAAACTGTAATTAAACCGAACTTGTAAACTCTTGAGGTGACTCTGGACTGGTAAAAAAATAGTCGATAAGAGAGAAAGTATATCAGAGAAGAGAAAGCTCCTTAGTTTCTCTTGTTCCTTTTCCTCTCATATCATTTTTACTCAGTGGCCGCGGAACAGAGGGGCAATGTCCCCACGGTTGTTCGATGTCCGCATCATCTCCCCATGTTATATAAACTCCTCCCTCCCCTATCCTACAATGTTAATGTTCCCACATGTCCCCCACATCGGCTTCCGCGGCCACTGCTTTCTCCCGCTAACAATGCACATGTCAGACATGTTTCGCACGGATCTTCTTGAAACCAGCACTAAAATATCAAAGAACCAAACACAAATAACATTTGGTGTGACACTTGAGCACTTCTGCAGAATTCGCGAAATGGCGAAGGTTTTAAGTTGGCAAAATCACGCATTTTCACCATGCGAAACTATACGGAGTTCATCTCTCCGCTTTCCAATTTTCTCCTACGCTTCTCTTCACCAGGTCATCAGTTCACAGTTTTCACCTTGCATGAAAAATTAAGTTTATTAATTTACGAGCCAAGTTCTCAACCGATTTTTCATCTTTGGCTTTTAAATAATTTTTCAACACTTTTTAATATTGAAGATGAAAATTAAATTCTTATCAGTGGAATTTAAAAAAAAAATTGGATGAGAATAGTGGATTATTTTTAAAAATTTCTTTCACATTGCTTATTTTTATTTGTATTTGAACAAAAGAAAAACAAATATACCAAGTTTCCTACGTGTAATAAGTTGGTAAGAGCTAACATCTCACTTTGTTTTTAAAGATAGTTGCCCTTAAAATCTTTAAAAAACATACAACGCTAAAGAAAAAAAATCGAATCCACTTTTGTGAACCAATTTTGAAAAATAATTTCCAGTGATAGGAACTTAATTGGATCCATAAAATATTAAAAATTGTTAAAAAATTATTTAAAAGCCAAATATGAAAAATTGGTTGAAAACTTGGTTAGGAAATTAATAAACTCAATTTTGAATGAAAGGCGAAAACCGATGACCTGGTGAAGAGAAGCGCAGGAGAAAATCGGAAAGCGGAGAGATGAACTCCGTATAGTTTCGCATGGTGAAAATTCGTGATTTTGCCAACTTAAAACCTTCGTCATTTCGCGAATTCTGCAGAAGTGCTCAAATGTCATACTAACTATTGTTTGTGTTTAGTTTCTTGATATTTTAGTGCTGGTTTCAAGAAGATCCGTGCGAAACATGTCTGACATGTGCATTGTAAGTATTTGTATGTGCGGACAGAATTTATTTTTTGAACGGGTTTTTCCTCAAGGACGGGGGAGGACAAATTAAATGATTATATAGACTCGTGACGGGTATGCTTTCACCTCAACTTTCACCTCTTCTTCCTCCTTCTCCTACCTCCCTCCTGACTCTGATGACAACTTAATTAAAGTTAACTGCGATAGATAAGGTAAGGTAAGGTAAAGTATATAAGGAGAGAAATAAGTGGCAATTAGGCATATCGATCCCTCAATATATATTATATTCGAGTAATTAACGACGATGACAGTGTTTCTTGAGAGGAGCTGGATAAAAGAGAGGACATTATTTCAATTGCTATTGCCAGCACTGCTCCTGCTAAAAAGCTGGTGGTGGTTGGACTATTAGTTTTATGTGAATCGAAGGCTCTTCTTCTGTGCTGCTGGTGCTAATGAGAATGAATGAATGGCGTACGTACGTATAATATTTTAATGTGGTTAGATTTACTGAATGTCGTCGCCAACTAATATACTGCTAAATGGCAGGGGTGGGCAAAATATTTTGGGAAAATGTAGTATTTTGGGCTCCTTTTTTCTGAGGGTTTGGATTTCCAAGGTTGTAACACCCACAAAAATACGAAAATTTACGTGGAGAAAACAGAAGTCGTACGAAAATTGTGGTTTTGTAAAGCAATTAAATTTTTATCGCGGTCAAATATATCGTTTTTATTACTTTTTGAAGTATTTTGATAGCGAAAAAAAAATTAATTTCTTCACAAAACCTGTATTTTCATGGATAGACATGGATTGTTGCTTTCTGCACGTAGATTCTCTTGTTTTTGTGGGTGTTACACCCCTGGAAATCCAAACCCTGCGAAGAACGAACCTCAAAACACTTCATTTTAACAAAGTATTTTTGCCCACCTCTGTTAAAAAATGCACCCCTTTGTATGTCTTGCATACCTATGTACTTACCTAACTTGTGTATATTTGAGTGTACATATTTAAATTTACCTCCTACATTTACATATGTATGTATTTACAGATATAGAATTCCTTTATACTCAAACTTTTACTTACTTATTCTAAATATTCCAAGAAAAGCGACGTGAATATGAAAAGTTAATAAAATTGATTCAAATCTGATTCAAGTTGTCGTTTTGGAACTGGAATAATATTATAATAATGGAGAAAGCAAGTCGTAAAACGCAGATGGCAGCGCATCTCATCTCGTAACAAATTTGATAGATCGTGTTTCTGCATGATTCAAATGGTCAGTGTGCACTCAATTTGGGTTTGGGAATGGACCTAAATATCGCATCTGGTGGATTGGATGGAGGTGAAAGTGGGCAGAATTTCCAAAATAGATTGAAATTTAAAGACTATTCCTTGCACATAATAATAATATTCGTCCAGATGCGACACACGGCACACACAACCTTCAAACTCTCTGCTCCAACCTTCGATTAAATTACTCACGACGAACGCGGAGGACGAACATTAAATAAATCTTGGCGGAAAGAGAAAGCAGCAGAGCTCACTTTTTCACCGTGGTCTGGTCCTGAAGAAAGCAAGGTAAGTAAGTAATCGTCCCCTGAAGGGTGGTGAAGGCTGACTTATAACCACACTAACTCTTCTCTCAAAGGCGTCATCAGCTCCATCAACCCGTCCACCGGTGGACGGGCGAAAGCAGGGTTTCGTTTCTGGAGGGTTTACAACATTTTTTACACCGGAAAAAAAGAAACGTAGGAATTGGAGGTGAAAAAAACTGGGAGAAAGTGCAAGAAACATACGCCATCCAGCTACGCATCCCCTGAACTATAGCTGCGAAAAGGAGTTTCTTGCACCTACCATTTCTTGCAAATCAAAATAGCCGCAAAAACCATTTCTTGCGAGTGATTACTTGCAGGGTTTCGTTTCTTTCGGGCTTACTACATTTCTTGCAAAGTAAGAAACAAAATAAATGTGAAGTTCAAGAAACTGAATGAAAGTGCAAGAAATATGCACCATCTAGCCACGCACCATATTAAATACAGCGGCGGGGAGTAGCTTTTTGCGCCTCTTATTTCTTGCAGGTCAAAATACCTGTAAAACCCATTTTTTCCCCTCTATTTCTTGCAAGTGGTTACTTTCATCCGAAACACTGAGCCCACCAACTACATTATATTCTGGAAGGGAAGAAAGTGAAAATTTTCTCCACCACCCTCCCGCCCAATCTCGACAAGACTTCAATTAAGAGTGCAGAATTGTTTTTCCTCTCCTTCTTCCAGGATGACAATTTTTTTATTATAAAATTCCATCCCACTAAAGCGAGCGAGGAGAAAGTGTTCTGCGTGTGGCTGGAGGGAGGGAGAAAGTCGGCAGTAAAAAAGACTGGAATTCATATTCATCACTACGCTCCGCCACAGGTGCATCAATTCATCACATCAACGATTGAAATTGAGGCTACTTTTTCACACAGAGTTGTTATATAAGCCAAAATTTGAATAGATGGAGAAAGCAGGCAGGATGTTAACTTTTTTACGTAAGTCAACAATGCACGAGACATGGCACGACTTACAAATAAATTGACAAAAATTGCATTGCATTATCCATGCAAATATTGCCGTAAGAAAGAAACACGTGCTGTATGCATGCACTCAAAGACGTACGTCACCACTTTTCAAAACTGTAAATCAAATCACGCCCAAGTTGCGGGGGTTCAGCTGCCAGATTTATTTTTACGTTTCGAATTTACCGCGTTTCATGCATGGCACTTTTATTTATAGCGTTTCCAATTATTCTCGATATTTCGAATTTGCCGCGTTTCATGGGTAGCACTTTTATCTATTTATAACTTTCGAATTAGAGATTTTGTGGACACAAATCTTCATTTGGCGGAATAAGAACCACGCCACGGCCGAAATTATGGGAAACAATAGCGTTTTCAATAAACCTTGTCGCTCTGAATGAATCTCGTCTTTGTTATCTTTCTGCTGCATCTTTTCAAGGCATGGAGTCTTTGGATTCGACTGGCCCAATTTGTCATGCCGTGTGCACATCTCCGGCTTTCTCTCTGGAAGAGCACAATGAGAAGGGCGGGGTCGAAAACTCCTTCCGGGAGTCGTTACAGGATTCCATTAGGGTAATCCCACCAAGTATTGCACCGCAGAGAGAGAGAGCGAGGCAATAAGTTTCCTGCCCAGGTAAGTAGACAGACACGTGACCAACACCACATGGATGAAGAGATTTAAAATTTATGCAGAATTTCAAGTTTCCAAAAATCCCAGATATTTGCTTTCCTTTCAAATAAAGGGATGATCACGATTTATGCATGTTTCAGATTATCCAGCCAGATTGCCCAGGTAAGTGTATTGCTGCGCATAGATGAAGGTTCTACATTTACTCAAAATTTCAAGATCCCCTTCAAAGCATGCATTCCGAAAATTGGGCTCCCTTATAAGTATGTAGTATTAGCTGCTTTATGTTATCGTTTTGTCCGTCCGTCTGTCCGTCGGTAAGCAGGATATCTTCAGAACACCTCAACATAATCTAACGCCGTTTTCGCCAATATGATTCAAATTTTTTCCGCTCGGTCGATTTCGAAATTAGGATCCATACGGTCAAGGTCAAGGTGACCTTTGCCCTGGCGAGGTCAAATGTTAAATTGGACCTTAGTTTTCATATGTAGTGTCATTTTAAAGGAAATCTCATCATGAATCCAACACCGTCAATATTTTCGACTTTAGACCAACTCACAACCGTGAGATCAAACGTAAAAAAATACCATTGTTATCTGTATATGGTGTCATTTAAAACGGCATTTCAATCGCTTTGAAGCCACTTTTTACATTCGTTTGACACAATTTTATTTACCCTCCTCTCAAACAAGCCAATCAAACCAGCCATCAAAATCCCGACACGTTTTGGATAATCCAGATTGCCCAATAAATATATTCAGCGTCACGACCCATCCACACCCATGCAGCTTAACAGCCGACACTTAAATTTCCATCAAATCTTTCAACACATACATAAACAGGGCAGACTACATACGACGTTCCTTTTCGTGACATGTCTCCGCTTCGGGGGGAGAAGAAGAAGAAGTGAGTGTCACATAAATCCGAGTTGGTTTCATCATCTCGACTAACAACATGTCAAACAAGCGTGTCCTCCTCACCTCATTTCCTCCAAGTCAAATTCCACCTTCGGCCTTGGTGGGTGGGTGATGAGCTACTACGTAACCAGAGAATCTCTCCGTTTCTTCTATTTACCTCGGCAGTAATAACATAAACATGGCTGGTTAAGATAAATAAATAGGTCGGCAGTGTTTCGGGTGAAAGTAACCACGTGCAAGAAAGTGGTTTCTTGCAGGT